TCACTGGGATTTCTGCTAATACCTCTGAATTTGTGAACATCAGCATTGAGTTCTTAATAAACACTGGTTTTTACACAATCAAGAAATGGGCAGAAATGTTCCTGGAAAAGTCTAACTTTGATTACTGAAGGCAGAGATGCGGATTTTTGGAATCACAGGATGGTTTGGGTTGGAAGGGACCTTAAAGACCATCTCATTCCAACCCCCTGCCATAGGCAAGGACACCTTCCACTAGACCAGGTTGCTCCAAGTCCCATCCAACCTGGTCTTGAACACTTCCCTGGGATGGGGAAGCCACAGCTTCCCTGGGCAACCTGTTCCAAACTTGTCTTTTCTTGCACAGGTAAGCAAAAAAAAAAATCTAAGTTTGTCAACTTAATTATTTGTCTCTCCCCTAAACAAAATAAAACATACAAGAAAAATACACAAGTTTTCCAGAACAACCGGAAAGAGGCTGACTTGAAAGGAAAATAACAGCAAAGATTCTGCAAAGAGCAGCAGAGCTTTTATGAATCTCAAGTTCAAATGTAAATAGTGGCAATTCAATCCTTTCCAAAGATGGAAGACGGAAAGGAGAATGCACTGATCAAAAGTCATCCTGTAACTTAAGGGAAAAGAGGAAGACAATGACTCCCATAGTCATAAACAAGGAATAGTGAAATGGCAGGAAATGACAACTGAGTTTGGCAAATGGTCTACACAAGGATGATTTCATCCCATGGGGAGAAGCCAGACAGACTGACAGGACAGTTTCAGAAAACTGCTGCATTTTAATAATTTAAAATTATTACTGAAACACCCACTGTCACCACCTGGCATCAGGGCTCAAATTTAAGTACCACATAAAACACATTTTCCTATTACTACCATCACTAAAAGCAGGTGTGAGAAACCCAAGGTGATACCACACAAACTACAGCAGTGTGTGGCACACCAGGAGTACCTGAAAGCTCTGCTACCAGGAAGGACAACATTCCCAAATAAAACAAAGCAGTGATGAAAATATGAGACAACTGTCTAGATATTCAGAGATACCAGCTTCAAATACCACATCATTTGAGTTGCAAATACTTTACATCTGACAGGCCTACTGCTCCCCACCAGCAGAGAGCACAAGTCTGCCTAAGAAAGCCCAGCAGCCTTTCTCCAAATTACTTGCAACGAGCAATTTGTCCAGCCAGAATAATCTCAAAATAAAGCAATTATTTTGAGAGGGGAAAAAAGGAAAGAAAGACACAAACAAACAAATCCCTTCCCCCAGTAATTCCAACTTTGCTGAATTTATTACGTGGCTGCAAATTAATATGTCACCTGCACCAGCTATCACAAGGTTGTCTCAGAAGTTCCTTTATTAAACAGCTGCAAGTAGTGGAGTAAATGTGTAAACATCTCACTTGCCTCTCCGTGCCATTGTGTCAGCTATTCTACATGCCTTTGATGGTGCTCCAAAATCAGCATGGCTCTGCTTTTCCCTTTTTCTCCTTCTGGGAGGAGGAAAAAGCAGAGCAGGAAGGACAGGCTGGCAACAGGGGGATAACTCTGTGCTCACTGTGCTCTTGACAGCGAGGCTGCGAGTGTTCAAATTCAGTTTACACGGGCTCTTCTGCAAGGACAAAAGAAACCACTGCTGGTGGTTAAAAATGCAAAAGGTTTTGATTGCAATGGCTTGAAAATAAGCCAAAGATATGACTAGGGGGAAAAACACAGCAAGGCAGCTATGACCAGAATGGAAGAAACAAGGAAAAACACATGGCTCGACTTCAGAGCAGAAAATTGACTTAGGCTTTGCATAAATGACAGCATACCTCCAAGCCTGCCTGATCCACAGTCTGCCTGGAATGGGAACATGTAGGCTAAAAGCAGAGCCTATTAAAAGGCATAATGTTTCTAAACGGCATCTGTTACATACTAATAAGCATTACTTAAAGGACACAGGCCTTAAATTGCTACCATGCACTTATCTGAAACTGCTGCAAGGCAATCGTTACCCAAATGTCACATGACACCATGGGAATCTGAATAATAGAAAATGTTTTTATTTCCTTTGGCTTGGAATCATTTCGCGGGAAAAAAACATGGAGGCCCTTTCTGAGATTCTGAAACTCTGCAACTTCACAGGAACGAAGCACCAGCGAGAATTACACCAGCAGAGCCGTTTGCCATCTGTTGTCAGTAATGCCAGAAAGACCAGCCACCAGGCAGAGGCTTCAAAGGTTACAAACACAACATTTTTAAGCACCCACAGACCTCTCTGTAAGCAAGCAGGACCCACTTTAACTACAGATATGTGGGACCTGAGGGTCTGCCAATCGTTTTGCAAAGACAACATTCCAGAGCAGCGAATTGCAAAGGGTTTGGAAGTCTCTCAGTATGCAACCTTTCCACCATGTGGAAAATACATGCCAGCCTGTTCACGTAGGTTCTTATAACATGCTCACAACCAGGATGCCTGCACACCTCCCACTTGCAAATTGAAACCAGTTAGACTTTCTCTTGTGCTGTTTGTTTTCCCAAACTTTCCCCTCAAGGGAAGGAGTGTATTCACTGAAGTGCTATTATGGAAAAGGGCTCTGGTTTGTTTGCTGGGTTCTGGACTGTATTTTTTTCTTTGGGGGAAGTACTTAGGGTTTTGTTTCCTGATTTCTTTTCTTTCCAGACCATAACTACATATTTGTGCTAAAGAAAGCAAAATTTTGGTAACTTGCTTTACCTGTGGCAATGACAGCCCTTACCTCTTACGTACACACACACCTCAGTCTGAATAAAATTATGCCTGTTCCATCCATGAGATCTAAGTTCCACTATGGTTGTTCATCAGTCTCATCTTAGAGCTTTGAGTAGCTTTTCTAGATGCAGAGACCACATTTATGATGGTAGTGCCTATACAATACCTGAATTTTGTGGTTCCATCTTTCAAGCTGTTGACCTCCTGCCTATAAACTGATTAACATGGATTTCATGGAGGGCAGGGAGATTTCCATCTTCCTCGAGAGACAGATGGAAATTTAAGACTTCATTAATGCAATTGCTAAACTAGATGTACAGGTTTCTCATTCTGTAACTATTTCTCAGGCTCCAGAGGTGTATATACGTGATTACTCACTGAATGTCCTTCCTGGCCTTTCTGTTGGATAGTTAAACACATACAAATCTGACTTCTGAAACGTTCTGAATCAAAAAGAATTTCTGAGGAGGCTCAATCTAAAACAAGAACCTCAAGTTCTAGGTCAGCAGCTGCCCTGCTTCTCAACAGCAAGGTCTGCCTAGGACTTATAAGAGAGCTTAGAAACCTGGAAGTGTAAACAACCTTTCCCTGTGAAAAACAGTTACAGACACAGCCCTCAAGACTGAGCTGTAGCATCTCAATTATAGCACAACTGAAAAGCATCATTTGTACAAGACCTAATGGTTGATTCCAACATGCTCTTAAAGCCTGCTGTACACTCAAATTGCTTATTATTATTTTAAAGATAGGTATAGCCAACTAACTAACTACGCCAAAACTCAGACAATACCTAGAAACAACATCAGCTGTCCCAAAAGAGGAAGGGGATGGAAGAACAACTATTCTAAGCATTCAGTTTGAGAGTAATGAAAAAGTCAGGGAAAAATGCAGACTGAAGTGCCCAACAATACAATGTTTGTTTGGACATGAAAAAACAAATCCCATTCATCTATTTTATTTAAAAACATCAGTAGAATTGAAAGCCTTCCAAAGAAAAAAAATAGCATTATTACAAATGTTTGACTTCCATAAGTGGTTGATAGCAGGGAAAAAATAGAGCAATCTGACGGAGGCACATTTAGCCATGAGCAGCAAGAGGAACTAATGAACAACATCATTATTTTACTGAAGGGGATGAAGTAGGTGCTTTAGACAAATGGCAGCAACTTAAAATGTGTTTCAGAAGATAAATTCACTTTCTCTCCATTTACCTGCTAGCGTGACAAATTAAGAAAGAGGAGTATAAAAACAGAGCAGGAGGGAAAGCAGTGCGAAAGCTAACTGAGGTGATGCAATGGGCCCTTATCCAAACAAGTGCGTGAACAGAGATTCTTGGAAGTCTTCCTAGTCAAATATAAACCCAGAACACTGCAAACGCCAGACTCCTTTGGAAATCCACGGTGGAGCACGTGCAGAAGATCCACCTGTGCTTAAATCAGGTCCCTTACAAGGCACTGGGAGCAGGGCCATTCGGGAACTGAGGTAACATCTGTTCATCCCAAAGCAGTGCAAGCCCAGCAGGTACTGAGGGGCTGAGCAGCGCTTTGCCCACTGCCGGAAACACCAGCAAATTAACTTCTCCTGGTTATGAGGAGATGAGCAGAGTGTGGCTTTTTTCAAAAAATATATCGGTTTCCATGTACTTCTTGTTCTGCTGTCAGCTCACTAACAGCAAAAAAAAGGTTTTACTGAATACTTTTTAAAGAAAGCGTATTATATACTTTGTATACAGTATATACATATATAATAATATAATTTATAGTATAGCATGCATACTGCTCTGTAGTATACAATGCCTTTTATATCTCATCTCTACACCAAAACAGTTCTACTAATTACGTTCGCATGGTCAAGAACCGACGTGTTTACTGCTGCTTTTGTCCCTGTCAAACCATGCTCCTTTTGTTAAACTGTGGGTTTGCTCAGTTTGAGTAAACAACTGCCGACCGTGCCTGAGATTTGCCTTTAAAAAACTGCTATTTTTACGCCGTATTCCCACTGCTTTTTAGCAGCTCTCAAGCAGTGAGTTATTATAGCCTTAAACTCATCCACCTGCGCTGAGACCCTCGAACACGCTCTGCACACAGGAGTCCGGGGATGAGCCTCTCGCAGCATCACCCTCCGAACCACAGCGGACGGGAATCATCGGGCCAGTCCTCTCTGCTTCAGGACTAGCCGAAAACCTGGCAAAGTTACCTGTACGCTTGGGATAAGGGGGGGGGGGAAAAAGCCCTGTAGCGCCTGCCCCTGCGCGCAGGGGGTCGGGCTGTCCCACCTCCCTCAGGCGCAGCGGGCGCGGCCATGGAGGCGCGGGGCTCGCCCGGGCACGGCCGCAGGCAGAGATTCCCTGGAAAGACCCGAGTGTTCTGCGGCGTTGCAGCCGCCCGTGGCCATCCCGGCGGCGGGGCCCGAGCCGAGCCGCTCCCTCCCTCTTACCCGCGGCGGCTCTCCCTCCTCCCTCGGCCGCCATCACTTCCTGAGGGCGGGCGCGGGGCAGCCCTGAGGGCGGGACGGGGTGGGCGGTGGGATGGCGGCTGTGGGACCGAAGGACGGGGATGGCGGCTGTGGGACCGAAGGACGGGGATGGCGGCTGTGGGACCGAAGGACGGCGGCGAAGAACAGCCTGGCGACGTTCCTGGAGAGCCCAGCGGAGGCCGGAGAGCCCGGGGCAGGCTGAGGGAGTGCCCTGAGCCCCCGCCATCGAGGCACTGCCCTGGGCGAGGGCCAGCCCAGCGCTGCGTCTGAACTTAACAAAACTCCAATACAAATCCCACGTTATCTGTTTAAAAGGCACAGAACGACAAGGCATAGAGCTAGCGACAGTTTCTGTTAACCTGGGGAGGCGAGGGGGGAGAAGCAGTTTATGAGGGAAAATATGTATAAAAATTACATTTTTATAGCTTTCTGCAGTGATCATTGTCAATCTGAAAAAGGAGTTTGGAAGACCTAGGCAAGCAGCCTGCTGTTCATTACCACAAACCATTAAACTGAGGTACGGGAGCTAAACTGAACACACAGCTGTCAAAATTAAAAGTAGAACTCAGGTGGTGACTCAGGGAAGCCTTCCTACCTGCACTGTGCAAGCATTTAATTATTTTTAAAATAACAGATACAGGTATCAAAGAAGTGAAAAGTGCATGGCAATAGCAATATGTTTGCAAAGAAACAAACTCACCTTTGCACTTATACCACCAAGGTACACTGTGACCTTGAGACAAAGTCCCAAAGCAGCATCTCGAGTGCTGCACATCAGCCAGGTACTTCATTGTCAGCACAGTGACCAAAAAGTCCTTAACATTGTTCTCCTTGCAAATGGCTTAAAACACATAGTGAAGTAAATTTATATTTTCTTTCCTCAACAGGGTGAAGCAATCTCAGCCCATCCACTGATATCAGATCACCACACCTTACAGAGCCTCAGAGGATTTCAGCACATTCTGATGATCCTTTGTGCCTTCCACACACGGCCCGGAGGTTTGGCCATGCCATGGTCCAAGGTCTAGTTTGATGCAGCATTGCTGTGTGACCCTGTGTGAGTTTCACTGAGGAAAATCAGAAAGTACATGAGTTAAAGCCATGAAATTAAGCTGAAGTCACAGAATTGCTGTTCGTGGGACAACAATAGTTAGCTGGTAAAAGATTCAAGTGAAAAGATAAAGAAGGAAAAAGAAAAAAAAGGCAGAAAACATGATGATAACTCAGTAATGCTGAGGATGAGCTCATACCAATAAATGTCAGAGACCAACTTTCCCCAGCGTACTGGAAACTTCCTGGCCAGCTAAAACTCATCAGTTTTCTTATCAGGAGTGGTGAGCATATTGCTGTTCAGCCTAGTAATCTCTCAGTGCTAGCTATCCTGTTTTGCATATTAGCTGATAAATAGTTACTTCAATTATGTGTATCCTGCTTGCAGAGTCTCTTTGTGCTGGTAAATGACACCTGAACAAAAGCAACCTGTTGGTCATGAGTTGCATGTTCTCCTGCTGAAGTACTTTCTCCCTATTATAAACAAAAATAAAGTTAAAAAACGTGTCCATACACAGCCATCAGTTCTTGCTAATACTGCAGGAAGACCAGAACTGAAATTGCAACAGCCACACAACAGCTTGGCTACACTGAACTTATATACAGTGGATATTTTTTCCATTATTGCTAAACACTGGGTATAGACCAGTGGATTCAAATCCAGAAGAACTAATATAAACAAGGCAGTGACATAAAATATATAAAACTTTCTATCAAAAAACACACACTGGCACAGATTGCCCAGAGAAGCTGTGGATGCTCCATCCCTGGAAGTGTTCAGGGCCGGGTTGGACAGGGCTTGGAGCAACTTGGGATAGTGGAAGGTGTCCCTGCCCATGGCAGGGGACTTGATACTAGGTGATCTTTAAGATTCCTTCCAACCCAGAGCATTCTATAATTCAGGGGGAGGAGAAAGTAAGTGAAATTGTAAATATATTTTTCCATTTACTATTTCTACAGATTTTGTTACAGAAGAGGCCCCTGTCCACAGGGAACAGTGAGCTTTACACTGAAATGTTTGTCTCCTTTCTTTTTGTGACATTGCATTCCATCTACCTGAAGACCTGCTTCAGTCTTTCCCGAGGATCATTTATTTTTATTAGAATGGAAAAGAAATATAGAGTGTTAGATCCTGAAATTTCTATTTCCAGTCCCATTATAGTTTAGTGTTAAATAGCATAACAGCTTGATTTCTTCCTCCTCTCATTAAGTGTTGAACAGCTGAGATAAAAACTGGAATATATTAAACACTTTCACTTAACAGTTTAAATCACTGGTCAGCGCCTGCCAATGACAAGAAATAAAAAAACCTACACGTAAGTAATAATAAAAGAGATAAAAATTAAAGAGCCGTTTCTAAACGAAGGGCCAATATTCTGTTCTTGTTGCCATCTACTGAAAAGCTACTGGAGCAGTGTGCTGGCAGTTCTGCACTGTGGTCAGAATTCATTTGCAGAAAAAAATATTTTTCTCTTACTCAGCAGCTCAAATAAGTTTCAAATGTATCTGACAAGTGTACAGAAAAATATTCAAGGTGATAACCAAGACTTTCATAGTTGAGTTGGTTCCATTTCTTCTTTACCTCAAGATGAGGGCCATGCCACTCACATCTGTGTGTAGCAAGAACAACAACAACCAGTGTTTAGCTGAGTCAGCTGCATCTGACTTGCCTTCAAATATCAAGGGCTTGGATTCTTAATTATGGATGGGGAGATTCATTTGCACAGACCTCAGATATCCAGTGACCCTCAAATCCATTGTTATGGGCACATACACACGTGGGAGTGCTAATTTTAAAGCTACAATCATACTTGAACAGAAATTTCGAGAGTAGCTTCGACTTCAGCTGAAGAAATGTTACAGGAAAGAAAAGGTTTAATTTCTGAATAAAATTCTGAGTAGAACCAAGGCCTAACCTGAATTTTTAAATTCTTTTTTGGACTATGTGGCACTCCAAGTACACGAAGCACATGCACACAAAACTTGGGAACATGAGCAATCAATTAAATCAGTGCAAAAATTAACTTTGCTGTGCTCTGTCAAATTCAATAATTCCATCAAAGTACTTTTACCACTGGCATGCCTCCCACATTTGCACAAGTATATACCAACACTGGAAATGTCTTGGAATCTTTCCTACCAAAGCAGCAAAGCTCTGCATGGAAAAGGACTAACTTAACTATTGAAGACAATACTTTCCCCAAAAAATATTTCTGTCAGCTTCTTCTTAAAGGCCTGATGATATAATCTTTGTTGCTTTGTATTTTTTCTTCTCCCTTTTGCCAGCTGTAAAAACTTTGAACACTAGTACTACATTCCAAACAGATTGTATCAGTTGTTTCAGAGTGCATGGAACTAATAGACTTACATCTACCCTCTGGAAGAATATCTAATGAAATACCTACTATTTTATAGCATTCAAGCAATACCTTTCATATATATTTACATATATATATATATGTATGATTGTATGTGTGTATAAAGCAGCTATAATGTCCCAAAGAAATCACAGTTTCTCATTGTGGAAATTAAATAAACAACTATAGACCTTAAATCTCGCTTTATTCCTTAGAAATTCACTAGACCACCTGTACTTAGATTTTTTTTAAAAATAGCAGAAATCAGAAATAACTCTAAGAAGACTCATTACCCTGTTCAACGTCATAGGGAGAGTTTTACTGACTGGTCAAGGAGAAAAATTAATTTATAAGAATCTTGATTGACATAGGAGTATGAAGGACTGTGGGATTTTAGATGTAATTCACTGCTGCCAGTGGCAGATTTTGTCTTATTTAGAGCTGCAGAGAGCTCTGTTTCCTGTATTAGCTACTCCTTCAGCCCCAGCAGCCAGCAGAAGTTAGTTCTGCAAGTTGTACTAACCAAGGGAAGGAATGGATGATGGAATCAGAGAATCTCTGAAATAAAGAGAATCCACAAATCTCTTTGTGTGTCAGCACAGGAGGATTTAAATGACAGACACAGGTCATGGCTCCAAACCTCATTCAGCCACACCCGACCCCAGAGATTTCTTCAGAGATTATTTTTTCCCTAAGGTCTCACAATTACCAGCTCTCTTGAGATGATATAGTGGCTTTCTATTCTTAGCATATTTCTCCCCTCCCTCCCTCTCTCCCTCTCTCTCTTTCTCTCTCTCTCTCTCTCACACACACACATACACACACTTCCTACTCAAAACAAGACCCAGTGAAACCCTCTGCCCACATAGTTATAATTCCCAAGAGAACTTGCATATGCTTTTGTTTTGGGCAGTGACAATGTGCATATGTTTTGATTTCAGGCCCCCCCCATTGGTTCTCAGGCTCCAGTTTAATGAAGACAGACCAGCTCTTAAACTCACCAGTTTCAGCAAGATACAACCCAGCTTCTAGAGTTCCTCTGACCTTGCAAGTTGGAGTGAGATTTTTTAACATGTTGCCTGTTAAAGGATATTACTGAGTAAGTGTTTTGGTTTAGCAAATACACACATTTTCCTATTGGTGTTTGGTTTGAAAAGTGTACAGTGCTTTGTCTCCTTTATAACAAGCCTGAGATAGGAATCAAGAGTAGTAAATGACATAACTGCTATGAAGAGGAATAGCAAAGTTAGCCCTGAGTTTAAGTCAGTAAGAGAAAGTCTAAGAACAGGAAAAATGGACAAGATAAGTTTTTGTAGTTAAGTGGCTCCTCATAATTAAAGTGAATTACAGCTGATATCCACAGAGATATAATAAAACTGATTCAATTAATTTTCTGTTTACTTGCACATAAACAGGTGGTGAAAAATGTTGCTGGATATTTTTCAAGAAGTTTCTCTAAGCCTTTCCTGTTCTTCCTAAATCCTATTACATTTGGGGCAGTCCCAGTCAGACAGCTGGGCAGTCAGACTTCTATCTTTAATAGAGACGTAATAATTTTTGCTTTAAAAGCTACATGAGTCACGAATCATCCCTGTCATGTGAATCCACATGCATCACAGTTGGAAGAAAAAAGGTGCTCTAAATGAAGTTTGCCACAGATACCTGAATCATAACACTGTTTGGAACTGAAAGACAACAGGATTTCACCTTCTGGAGCAGAGATTTCATGGATTCAAATTCCAACACCGTGGTGGTAACTGGTGAGGTTTTTATTTTGTTCTTTGAGCTGGAGATGGTATGCACGCATGCTTGGTCTTTGTCATAAACAGTTTCCTGGAGGGAAAAACAGTAGCAAATGGTCATACTAACATTTCTAAATGGAAAATAACTTACTGTGCCTTCCTAAGAAAAATCAGATGCATGTCAGAGGAAACAGACTGCAGTCTGCCCTCTTTACTGCCATCCAGTTTGGTTTGTTGTTCATTCTCTCCATGTTTTAATCTTTGTTGACATTCTCTCTGATCCAAACCACATAGCTCAAGGCAGTGCAGGCTAGGATTAGATAAAGCTTACCCAAAAGGAGCTCTGAAGCAAGAAAACCAGGTTGCATCACAATGTCACATAGTCAGTGTCCAGAATTAGAGCAACACATGGCAAGTCTCAGGGGCTCAGTTTCATGGCAAGGTAAGGGAGTTTTAAACAGGAGATGCTGCCTCATCATTGCTAAACTAGACCATTAAATTTAAATATACCAAAGGAACATGCCTGAACATGCAGCACAAGGGACCAAATTTGGAATTTCTCTTGCTGGCTGTAGCTACTGAGGCTTCACAGTGGCAGAACCCCCAGCTAGAGAGTCCTGAGCTTTAAAAGGTTAAAGCTCTTAAGGAATGCTGCTCCTCGCTGTTCCTCTTGTTGCCACTGGCTCATCTAAAGGCAATCATTACACATATCTTGACATGTGAGTTGCTGGATAATTTTCCACTGCAGGTCATCTGAGGACATAGGAATGAGGTTGAAGCTACATCAAAGAGATTTGCATCTTGCTGTTTTCAATTAAACACTTTTTTTTAAATAGCTGCAAGATGGGCAGAACTAGTCTGGCTTGCTCCAGACATAACTGCAGCTGAGCTGGATGGAGTGCAGGAGAGGGCAGGAGGTATTAGCTAACCTCTTAAAAGGCTGACAGTCTGGTTCTCTCCTATGATATTTATGGCACATACCCTTGTTAGGAACACTTCTTAGCACCCTCTTAGATTTTTCCTCCCCTTACATCACCATTTATGTGCAGAAATCTACTTGTTCAAGAAGTTTGAGACTGGTGTGCCCCGTTAAAGACACAAGTGCATCTTAAAGCTACTGCAGAGATTATCACAGCATGTCTCTGTCACATTTTCACCTGCTCGGAATATAAACCTGCTGGCAGGGAGCCCAGTTTATTATATGGTGCTCAATAACATTCAGCCAGTTAGTTCTCCACATTGCTGCAGGTATTTCAGTAAAACTCCTACATTTAGTCATTTTTCATGGAATAATTTTGTCCTAAGCACGAGTTTCTTACAGCCACCACTGACACACATGTGTTTCATTGGGAGCTGATTAATAACTCTATTATAATTCTGTAGTTCTGCACAGACAGGTACAGAAGCATGTACAACAACTACAGCTCCAAAATGGAGCAGGTGTCACCCTAATTTTGCTCCCAAAGCAGAGTGGGACCAGTGGGGTTTTATGTTCCCCTGATCATGTGAAATGAGCACCATTTCACTTCTTCCCTCCCCATGGTAGAAACTCAAACCTGGAGAAAACCTTGTCAGAAATATTAGCACCATCAAGCTTTTCAAAATACTAAAGAGAAAAGATGGAGCAGTTATGAAATAAGCATTAACAAATTAAGAAATGCTTAAAGTCTAGCACTAATTAAGCTGTCACAAGCCTGTATTTAGGCTTAATTGTCTCCAATGCAAGTAGCTTTCACTGTGCAAAATAGCAATCATATGCTGTCAAGTATTTATTTGTCCATTTAAGGATTTTTAAATATTTAAGAGTTATAGCATAAAAACCATTTCACAAATTCCTGTTCCTGCCACCCAATATGTAAGACTTGGCAGCGCTCTGGATTGAGAATATTAATTGGGATTAATAAAGATAGTGGGAGTTTTCCATCAAACTTTTTAATGACAAAAATGCCATCTGCTCAAAATGAGTGTTTATTTCCCTTGTATTGAAAAAAAAAATAAAAAGACTTTCACAAAAAAGATCCATAAAATTGAATGTAATACTTTGGATTAAAGTGTGCTTTTCCCTTTTCGCCTTTCTTTACCTTTGGGTAAAAAGTGAAGAAAGAGACAGAAAACTTTCAAGTTTTCACTACCTGGGATTAAAACAAAATTACAAATTACATAAAATTTTACTTTTTCAAACCTTTTCATTAAATATGCATATCTTCATCATTATGAGCTCTAACAATAAGAATGATACATTAACTCTGACCTGGGAGTATTTAACACCAGAACCTTCAGTAGTGGTTATTTCTGGGGATGATGATCCTTGCCCAAAATCATCATTTACTTGATCTGTCCTATCAGTTCCAGTACATTTACCAGCTTTAGTTAAGGCTCTCTCACAAGAAAGCCTTGACATGAATGAAGATTGCAGGATTAGTTCTTTTATCAGTGAATACACAGAATGAAAATACTATTCCCTTAGGTGTTATAAAGGCTAAATCCTACCTGAAAAACTCAACCTCCATAACCAAAAATATGAAGATAAAGAACAAATATGTGTGTGCAGGCGAGTCAGCCCCCAATCTGCAATTGCACAACAAGTAGAGGTTAAAAGCACCTTTCTTTCTTTTCATTTGCAGGTTTTGGTCCCTTCAGACAATACCTGGTTAATTCCAGCTGGGAGGCAGTGAAGGTAAGCATAATAAAAAAGGGGAAAAAAATGAGGGAGACATTTTATTTTGTAGAGATCCAAACACAAACTGCTTTTAGGCTTTCCATTCCCTTCAAAAAAGTTATTTCTCATGACTCATTAATTAAACAGAATTGTGCCTCGTGGAGCAGACTCCCAACATGGAAGAAAGGGGATAATGAAAAAGTGAAACGTTATTTTATTTGCATGATATTTTTTGTGCTATTTAAGCACTTTCAAAATATTATTCTTGATTCTTAAAAAAGGTATGTTTTACCCAGGGTGCCTTCTCTGCAACTAATGCATATTGCACGAGTTCTCTCTGTCTGCAGTAAATAGATCATCTCACACCATGGATCATTTTATCATGTCTGTGTGAGGTGATTTCCTTCTCATACAAGTGCAGCTTATGAGTTCTGACTGCCTGCTTCAGGAACACAAAAATCTGTGCCAATTCTAAGTATGTTTTCACGTTTCAGCTTTGGCTTCCACTTTCAAATGACAGTGAAGTCTACAGTTAAATTGAAAAAAAAGGTAATTCAGATTTTTTTCCTCCTCTATACACCTTGACTAGCAGGAACAAGTCTAAGGTGGAGCCTTAAAAATTCCTGCTTATTTTCTAAATCTGTGTATTAGAGCAAATTTATCTGGGGGATAAAAAGACATGGTTTGGATACGTGGCCTTCAGCATCAGCTGATTCATTCTCCCTATCACAGATAGAAACCTTCCTTGAGTTCAGTTACTCTCATAAGGTACTTAGGAACAGAGTTATTTTGAGAGGGTCTTTCATACAAGTTTTTAGCAATCCCAAGGTAGAAAAAAATCACACAGTGAAATCTGAAACTACTTGGGGAACAATCAAAATAGTAAGATTGAATTAGAGCTTTGGTCCAAGAAATAACAGACAATACTGGTAAAAATGGAAAGCAAGACATGTAAAACAAACTGAGGGGACTGAGTTCTTTTATGAAGACTGAAGTAAGTCCATACATTTTTAAATTCTTATGGACACTGAAAGGAAAAAGGCAGCTACAGGAAAGTATTAGTAGTGACAGAAAGGCAATGGCTCTACAGGACTATAACCACAGTACAGATTTCAGTGACAGCTACTGAAGATCTGATTTGAAAATGAAATGCACTCCAGCCAAGATGATTGAAAAACAAGGAGCTGGTGCATTTTCCCACAGACCAAAGCTATAGCAACTCCACCAACACATACACATTTTCTATTTCAGATTTGTTGGGTGAGTGCATCTTGGTGTTTGGTAGAATAAATCTATTGCCCCCTCCAAATCATGAGGGCTGTTATCCCTGTAGGCTAACAGGAAACAAAAATACTTCTGTGATACCTTTACACACCCCAATCATTACAGGAGGCCCATAAATTATCTAAACTCCAACCTGACATGGGCCCTAAACCACAAATATTTGTCAGTTGACAGTGTTCTTACTCATTGTTTCCTGATTCCTATTGGTTCTAATTTTGGGTGGAAGATCATCCTATTCTGGCTGAAAATAAAGCACGTTCTTTATCTGCAAGCAAAACAGCCCAAAGCGAGAAGGCACCAATGGGATGAGTTTCCTGTACCAATGCCATGAGCTGGCTACAACAGGGACTTACATAACAGGGGCTACAGCATTCCATAACCAAACAGCTGTCAGTCCTTGTGTATGGAGGAGAACAAATCCATTTCTCTCTGATGTGACACCCTCGGTGTGGAATTAATTTCTGTTCAGACTGGGGATGCTGCTTTGGTTTCCTGTGCCCTGGCAAAGGTGGTAAATTCAGGCAATTCAGAGAAATTTGCTGCAAATCTGGAAGTACTTTGAATTTTGATAGGCTTCTCCACGCTAAATAGCAATCTCATGGTATTGTTCCATTGGCCTTATTCACAGGAGTAGCTCTATGATCTTCAGGAAGCTTATGCACATATATTAAAGATAGCAAAATTTAGGATTTACATCTGGAAGTAATCCTGTCTTGGCTTGGGGTGCCTGCATGGATCACTGAAGTGACATAAAACCCTCCTGCTGAGTCCCTTTGCTGTGAACCAACAAGTGTGCACTCAGATTCCTCCTCAGGAACGTGCTGAGCAGCCAGACCAGAGCTACAAACGTGACTGCTCAGGCTTATGTTTAATGCCTTTGTAGCATTACCCAGAACTATGCTAATTATTAGCCCAGTATGAAGTGGGTGCTTATCAAAAGCCTGGATACCTTATGGAAAGCCTGGATACCACAGCAGCCTTGGTGATGTTGAAATGCTGATGCATGCAATCTCCAAAGTTCACATCCCAGAAGGGTCCTCATACCAAAAGCATCTGAAATCCTGTAAAAATACATTTAACAGTTCCAGTGTCCTAATTCCAAAGCATAACCTCACCCTCCATGCTTTTGAAATGGATTCTTTGCCAAAGAGCAATGGCTTCCCTTCTGTGAGCAATACTGGCTCTTACACACAGCTGCTTCCTTAAAATCCCTGTTACAGCTCCTCCCTAAGATCCTGGTGATGGGATCACCCGTTTTCCTGAACCTCTCTTCTTGCTGTGAGGAGGATCAGAGATTGATCCAGTGACCACACAGCCCATTCCAATAGTTGCATCCCTTCTATGCCCTCATTGGTGCTCAGAGAAATACTATTTCTCTTAAAATTAACTGTTTACTACTACCACCTTTTTGATGAATAAGCCAATTTCCCTTTTCTGAAGTACTCAGGAATCAAATGATAAGTGTTAATAAAGCTCTATTTCTGCTGGTTTAGAAAGAGTATTTGTCCTGCATTGCCTGTTTTATATTAGAGATACAATTGAAGATACAATTTTCCAAGAATGTGAGGAGTACCCTGTTGTTTTTGCATGGTCCCAAGTTCTCATCACAGCACAAGACCCTCATGCAAGGCATTCATCAGCATGGCATTCATCATCCATGGAGTTCTCATTCCTCAGCAAGTATCCCCTGAGTGTTCAGGGAAAAGGAGAGTCAAATGGTTCTGAAAGTAGAGGCAAACCTGTCAATTCAGGGTCATGGAGAAAAGCTTCCGAGCTCTTATAGACACCATCACATGGCCCAACATGAATGTCTAGCACTAGAAGGATAACTTCTCTTTAGAAACCCGCCTCACTAAATTTTTCATGGTTCTCATAACTCCATTCACCTGAAATCTCCTCCTAAAATATGCACGAGAGCTCCACCAGCAGCACTTTTAACTCTGGAAGTGCAGGACATTGTTGCTAAAGGAAAACAAAACCAGGTATTTGCTCTGCTTTTGCTGACAGATCACACTGATTTACCACCATGTGTTAGTTCTGCAGCACCACGTGGGACCCTCAGGATCCCAGATCTCCCGAATTATTGATTCCATATTCCAGACTGATGGTCCCACCTAATAACCTTTGATCCGATCCCGTTCCTGTGTCTCCTCCAGAAAGTCCTGTCTGCAACTTGGCAGCAAAATAACCTATCAGGGCAGTCCACCCACCAAGGTCAAACTCCCCAGTTAATAGGGCACAAATGTAAGCTGAGTGACAACATTCACAGTAATTAAACTGTTAGTGCAAAGAACAGGTCACATTTCCAACTGCTTCTGGGAACTATGTCTGCCATCGGGAGATGAGGATCAGATCTCCCAGTGCAGTTTTTCATCCTGCCACTGACCATGTGGTCTTTGGAAATTTGTCATTTAATCTCTGTCTCTCTCCCTCTCTGCTTCAGTTTCATCATCTGTGAAACTAAGAAGACATTGCTATCTAGTGCCTTCATTTCTGTTCTGGAATTTTCTTACATCCCTAAAGCTTTTAAAAGGTATCTGCACAATTAGGAAAAAAAACAAAACAAAACAAAACAAACAAACAAACAAACAAAAACCACCACACCCAAAACCCCAAAGCAGATAAACAAAAACCCACTAACCAACCAAACAAAACACCTTTGTTTGCAATGCACTTGCAGTGTGACGGGATCAGCTGAAAACTTCTGGTTCCATTTCTGCACCAACACAAGCGATTCACAAAATCAACACACGCGACCCCCTTCCTGGCAGCCCAAATCAGTGAGAACTCAGGCAAACTCACGGAAATTTTCTGGAGTTTTTTGGAAGTTCAAGATGCTTCCAACACGCCGTGGGGCACAGCCACCACCTCTGAGCACAGAGCTTACAAATCCCTCCTCTTTGAGGAGGGCTGTGTGACAACACGGGCCGAACACCAGTGCACTGGGGCTGTGACAACTCACCAACAGCTCCAGGTCAGCAGCTGGTAATGCTGGACTTCATTTCCCTCCTAGAAGAACTTCCCAATGAAGAATCTTCATGTTTTCTTTTGAACCACTTTTCCCACAAAACAGTCCTCCAAAACTTTTCTCCTCCTTTGAAGTTTCCTTTGCTGTTTCAACTACCCTGGACAGGCACTTGTTTACTGAATTCACTCACCACCGTGAGCTCAAGCTTCCTCCTCTAACCATCCTCAGTCTCTCACCTTACATGCAAAACTGGTTCTGGTTAAGGCTGAGACAAGGAACAACCTTCGTTTATTTTATTCCATATTTGCACGACATCTGGTCTAAGGGGGTATAAGCCCATGGTTGGGATTCTTAGACAACACAGTAATGCACGTTATTGATGATGTGTTGAAATTGCTTAGGACATAGCAAACCATCTTCCTTTGACACAAATTCTCAGCCCTTTGCTATTGGGCAGCTTCAGGTTTAAGTCCTGCACAAAAGTATTTTTGCGTGTTTCTGCCATGACAATTGTTGACAAAAGAAAATCTGTCAACAGAGAGCACGAGAGGAGAACAACCTTAGAGCTCACTTTGGGTCTCCACGTTCTGAACCAAAGTTAGGGGCAGTTGAGTTCTCTAGGCCTTACAGTTAAAAAGAAAGAATCTCATTAAATGTAAAAATTAAAGATGCTTTAGAAAAGGAAATGCTAATTGTGAACCAGCTGGGGTTTTCTTTTTCAGAGGCTCAGGCACAGTACAGCATTCTTCAGTGAGATGATGCAATGGTCTCTCAAAGACTGTCAGTGCCCCGAGGAAAAAAGGCTGGCACTGTTCTCCAAATGTGTTTACTTCCCTGCAGGCATTGTTTCCTTGCTTGTGTCAAATAGTTTATTGAGCACAGCTAATCAATGCTTCCGCTGACAAGAAAATTGGAACACTTTATATAGGAAGTGAGTGTTGAAGGGCAAATTTCCCAGAATTGTGGGCCTCATCCACAGGGGTATCCTGAGTGAGAAATGAAAACTTGAGAAGACAATGACATTTAATACAGCTACAGGTTTCTTGGGCTAATCATACACCTCTGCTGCTGTGCCCCCCTTGGACACTTCATCTGTACCATCCTTTGGTGGTGGTCTACTCAAATGGAACAGGGATTTTCAACCACCATTTTACTTTTCTGGGACAAAGCTTTCCACTTCAAATGCATTCCTTCTGCATCCTGCCATTGCAGCCACCTATTTTCTACTTAGAGGTTCATGCCTTGTTTTGTTAGCCCTGTTGCACTGACAAAATCATTTCATGTCCATATGACATTTCTTCTCCAGACCATCTTCTAACCACCTGGCCAACCTGCTGCTTTGAAGTGTACCTTTATTTCATTCACCTCAATTCTGGGCATAATTTTTGCTTCCCTTGGGAAAAGGTCCCGTGTGGAAATTTAACTGTACATAAATGACACAGAAATAACATCCCAGTGACAATTCCTTTTACTAGAGAAACATATTCTGGACCAAAACATAAATTAAACTCATTCTAAATGTGACCTTCCTCATGTTGACAGTCACCTCCAGCACAGCTTACCTGAACCTGGTCAAGCCAACAGATCACTGGAGTGAAAAAGTCACGTGAGTTCTCCTTGGGTTTGTCTCTTGACAGTGCAGATCTTTCAGAGGAACAGCTCTTACCTGTAGCAAAGCCCATTTAGATGCTTTCAAGCGTGGATCTTTTCTGAGACACTATCTCATGGTTCCTCAGGGACCACTCCCACCCACTGGAGACTAGGCATCCCTTTGGAAAACACAATAGCTCCACATGGATGTGACATTAGGGAACTGTTCAGCACATTTTAATCTCTTCCAGCTGAAAAAGAGGGAACTGCTATGAAACCAACCTCATTGCAGACCAGTGTTGAGGAACCATGGGGTTAAGCATTGCTCCTTCAGGTGTTTTCTCAGCTGAATCAGCCCAGTTTCTTTACCACAGTCAGAAATCCAATGCTTTTTCAAGTCCATGGTGGCTTTTTTCATAAACACAGGAGCTGTCCAAGAGAGGCCTTGGTGAAAACATCGATCTCCAGGTCATGCAGCTGCCAGTGGTTTACCAAAAAGCAAAGGAGCAAGTCATCAAGATATGGACGACTCTTCAGCCACTGGTGAGTAATGAGAAAGTTATACAATTTCCTCCATTTATGAATATGAGAAGATCTTGAAAAAAATCTCCAAGAGAGTATTGCAAAACATCAAACAAATCTGGAAAGTGACCATTGAAACTGTGATCAAGGTTACAACCCCACATTTGGAGCACACACTAATTAGCATCCTCTTTTGACCCCATGCCATTTAAAAAGCGTAAGTGATGCTGAACAAAGGAAAGGAAAAAAAAAATCTACCATAAACTGTACATCTACCATAAAGGTACAGCAGCTCTGCAGTGCTGAGCTGAATAGACACAACAAAAACTGCAGCATAATTTGGTTCTCATTTATATTCTCTTATCAAAGTCTTCTTTAGACATGAGCAAGACTCCTCACCTTGAAGCTAGTGATTCACATAACGCTTGGCACTTTGGCATTACATGTTTGTAAAAAACAGGTCTCATTTTTAATTTCCTGTTGCTCACTCTGGTGGGAAAAAAACCCCCAGCTTACTGTTCACGTTGGGCTGGCTTCATCCACCACAGTCATCATCCTGGAGCAGTGTGGGAAGAACAAAGGCTACCAAGACAGGGATGCTTGTGGTTTTCACCCAGAAGGTGCCTGCTGCGTGCTAGATGGCCCAGAAAAGATTGAATCTACAATTAATATGAAGACTCTCTGGAAAAACGTTTCAGTGGAAGGGATTGATATCATCTTCTCCAGAGATGCAGGGAGGTAAACACCGTGTATCAGGGGCTCGGGGGAACGGCAGGAGCAACTCAGTCAGCTCCACCTTGGACAGTCTTTGCCTTGACTTTCCCTCCAAACAAAATCACTTTGAAGCAAAGTCTTCAGAGGGGCACAAGTATGAAAACTGCCATGAATTTAAATTTTATGTAAAGCAGCTTTCATGAAATGCTACAGCCAGTAGATATTTTTCCATGGATTTGTAAATTCCAAAAGAAACAAGTTCCAACGTAGCACACCCTGTGATGAACAACCCCAGTAAACCTCAGCTATTAAGAGAGACTGAAAGCAATACCGACTGGTAGCAGATTTTAATCTATTTCTTCTCAGCTGGGAGGGACAGAAAATGTAAATACATACACTGGAGAACAACAATTACAGGTACCTTTAGAAACAGGTCTGTGATCTTATTATGTGTTCCAGTAGTACTGGAGCAATTTTCTACTGTGCTAGTCTTCATAGAAAAGAAAAAAAAAAGTAGGTTTATTTTTAAATAAAAATCAGTTAATCTTGGCCCTTAAATTCAGGATTTGCACCTGCAAGTTAAAAGATGGGGTGATAAAGACAAAACCCCTCCAGACTGAGAGATTCTGTGCCTTACACATAAAACTGTGTTACATGGTTGTAGTTTCCAGCAGGGTGTGTTACCTTTCCCACCCCACAAGAATGCCTGTCTTGTGATTTTTTTATTTAAAGTTCTTTGTGGGTGGGTGTCTGAGAAACCAAACCATCAGATAAGGAACATTTGTTTCTCAAACTTGGTTTATTTCAGCATTTCCTTTATTCACTAAGCAAATATGTTCTTAATAATTTCATAAACCAGATCTGGTTTGGCTACTTAGAATATTTAAATTTAATCAAAGTTTACTGAGCCTTATTTCAGGTTTCTGGTTTTGTTTTGTTTTTAATATTGCAGGTACATCTGTGATTACACCTACTACACTTCTCTGTATTATGGCAATGGAAGAGCAGCTTTCATCCATGTGCCTCCATTATCCAAGTCAGTAACAGCAGACTTTCTAGGAAAAGCATTACAGACCATTATCTTGGCAATGTTAGAACAGTGTGGGGTGGATCATATAGGAAAAAAAAAAAAAGATGATTTCTTAGAAAGCAATTCCCTACTTCTTAAATGAAGCAACTCTAAAGATTATTTAAAACCTTCACACAAAAGGATTTTATAGTCCATGTTATTTTCAGTGAAATTTCCTTGCAAAACCCAAACAACTGTTTACATCTCTGAGAAAAAAAGCTCCAGGGGAAAAACCAAGTAACCGGCAGTTTGTCTTGCTAAAAATAAGGTTGTTTCAGATTTCAGAAAGTGTGAAACTGGATTTCAAACATTTTAGATGCCTAATCCTAGTTCTGTTGGTTATAAAGACATTAACAAAGACTTGCTGAACCGAGGTGGGCTCTCAGAGCTGTAAGGACTCAGCACTGGATGGATGGAACAGAGATCCCCCCAAGCCCATCCCAGTCCAGCTGAAGTGCCCACACAGAACATGTGGGTACGGGAGAAACAGGGGTCCTGGTATGTGAAGTTCTACACTTCCCCCTCCCTGACCTGCTGTAAATGCTGCTTTCCCCATCAGCAACGGGCTCTGAACCCAGGGGGACTTCCAAGTACAGAGAAAACTGGAGTCCAGCAGGATCTGGAATGTTCTTGGTAATTTCAGTTTCAGCCTGAAGCCACCACTAACCCCAAATTCTCAGTGCCTGTCCCAAAGAAAAACACCACAGTCCTTCCACAGAGCACAGCCCAAAAACAAGTTTTCAGCAGGACAGGTCATGGCTATTCAGGGACTGACACATCAAAATCCAACAGCAAATCTGTCCCAGGAAAGGCAATCCTGAAGCACTGTGCTGTGGGAAGGGCACGTTACTGACAAAACAGGCACCAAATGAGATCCCACATGGTAAAACTTGGGATCAGACCCCTCCACATCCCAAACAGCTCCACACAGAATTGCTGTGCCATGGAAGCTGGGTACCACAGGGGGTTACAGCACTGCCCCTCAGCACACAGGGAACGCCCCCCCACACACCCTCCTCCACAATCCTGCTACTGCCAGGACACAGGGATGAGATGCAGTTAGCTGGGATTTTTCTAAGTTAGTCACTAGAACAGGGCAGCAGCAGCTTCATCTGGACACCTGGGACTTCTCCAGGGAAACAAAAGCCTGCTCCTCAAGCATCATGTCAGTACAACGGACAAGAGACAAATGTAACAGCACAGGCAGCTGATGAGGCTTTGGGCCACCATCGTGCCTTGTTTTAGTCAACACGCTGATGACAAGAGCCTGAGGAACTGGACCTGCCAAGATAATCCCAGTTTTCTCCCCACTGTCTTTCCCAATGCCGCTGCAGAAAGCTGATAACCAGGTGGCTGCCTGAATGCCTCACCTGTGGATTGCTGTGTGGGTAAAAAGTGGATTTTCCTCAAATAACAAACAATGCTTACCTTATTCAGAGGAATCACCCTGCAAAACACTGCTCAAATCTCACCAAGAAGGCTCCACACCCTCAGTGCCACTGCACGACAATACTTCTGATTCCAACCCAGCAATGGCAGTACTGACCCCTACTAAAATATATTCGGAGTAGCTCAATTCAACGCAGCTGAAAGGAAAACCAGAGAAACTTTACTCTTAGTTTTCTAACCTGTACTTGCTTTCTGGAAGGAGCAACAAATTCAGAAACAGGCAAATGCATACAGAATTCTTTTATTTAACTTAAATCATGTAGTACTGAAACTACTAGAAAAAAGCAGAGTAAGAGAAACTAAAGGAGCCTTAGCTTCAGCCATTCAAAATAGACAAAGTTTCTTCTTTTCATAATGTAAAGAATCCCGAGTATATCGCAATAACAGGAATAAATTCTTACAACAGAATATACAAAAACATTTTGAATTTTTTTTTTTATCTACTGATTCATTTTAATATAAACACAGGAATTTCTTTAGGAATAATTTATACACAGCAAGTCTTTTTATGTAATAAATTGGCCATGTTATTGTTTAATTTTCTCTTAAAAAAATTTAAACAAGAAAAATTGGAAAATGTATTTGCAACTGCATCCATTCCTTAGCACTTTCTAGTTTTGTTTTTGTCCCAGAGGTAGACAAACTCTGGCCAATCCTTTCATCTCAAACCTCACTGGTTCAGAAAACAGAAGGTGTCCCTGTCCACGGCAGAGGGGTTGGATCTTCAATATCCTCAAATAAAAATAAATAGGGACCCTGCCTTGCTCATTTCAACCAAAGCTTCCAATGGTCCTCAACAGCTTTAGAGGCTGCACACAAACTTTTAAAGTGATAAGAGATTTGCAAAGAGTTCTTCAACAGCAGTTATGAAAACCATCTTCCCTCTTTCTCTCACACAGTCACTTCCTTCAAATCACATGGAGCAGAGGTGCTGAACAGCACAGGTGAGCCTGGGGAGCAGCAAACCTGTTCTGTTTCCCCGACCAGTGAGGTTCTTGTAATCCAAAAGGTAACTGCCCTAGACAGTAAAGTGAAATGACCAGGTAAGATGATCCCACCCCAACCAGAGGGCTCTGGAAGACCAGGATACTGAAGATACAGAACATTTTCCCAACTCCTTTACTCACTCGCTGTATGGTGGGACACAAAGCTTGGGCGGGAAGGGGGAGAGGAACAAGCCATGAGTTGGACAAGTCAGCGATCCTTTTTGGCATATTGTAAAGCTAACTAGTAAACTGGTACCATGGAAAAACTGATCACAGACAGACACACCCACACACAGACACAGAAAAGTGCCCTTAAATTATATTTTAGGCATTTATAAACTACAAACATTTTATAAAATTATTCTATGTACTTACAAAATGCAATGAAACATTTAATTAGTTCTTGTAAACCAGATCTTCGTCAACTGACTACCCGTAATCTACTGGACTTAAAGCCCTATTGAAAATGCTAATTAATGGTTACTAATCAACAGAACGCATACCAAAAAAAATATATGAGCACACACGCAAATGCACACACACAAACTAGGGAAGTTCTAAGGTACTTGCAGAACAGACCAGCTGTAGGTGAGACAGATCCATACAGACCGATGACAACCACTGCCATGCTCCTGGGAACGAATTCCCTGCTCCAGCTGCCAAGTCCGGAGGTTTACGTACAAGTACCAACGATCGGAACGGGGACACCTGAGCTCTGGTGCTGTCCCACACAGATTAAGCTCAGGAAAACCACCCTCAAGCTTCTGCCAAGCCCTGTGTCTCCAGATCCCCATTGCCATGTCCTGTTTTCAGGTGTCTCCCCACAAACACATCTCCGTGCTGACTGACCTGGCTGCTCGAGGTCAGGGGCTGTTCAGCACCTCTGAGCAGCAGCTTTCTGAACTGAGGTGTCCTTCCTGCCTGCTTGAGTTCTGTATCTTCAGCACCCCTGGCCACTTGGGTTGTTTCTACACATCGTTCTCCAATCCTTGTCTGCACATCTACTCATGGGTTAAGTTGCAATATCTGGCTTTATCACTGGTTAGTAAGGAGTGGATCCCTTGCACCTTCCTCCACTGTTGTTCAGCCCAGTGATTGAATACACGGTTGACAAACAAAATAAAGAAAACAGGAAACAAGTGTTACTTGTACTAATGGAATGAAAAGGGTTTAAATATATATATCTATATTATAGATATACATATGTAGGTATATATATATGTATATATAGATATATATGTATGGAGTTACAGCAACTATAGGAGTGTTGTTCACTTAGTCTCGGATTGCACCGAGCACCCCTCAGCAGATCCCAGAGGACCTGACAGCAGCTCCCTCTGGTCACCAGTCATCCTGGGCAAACTGGGCCTTCTTTTTGTTTTGAGACCAAGAGGAGCATCAGTGTGACCGTGCCTAGAACCACAGAGCACTTGGAGCCAGCTGGGAGGGGCAGAGGCATCGCGCTGACGGAGCCGCGGTGCCCGCGGGCTGGCCCGGCCCCACGCCTTCCACCGCGCTCGGCTGCTGCGCCTTTGTGTCATCCCCCCAAAACAGCATCTGATTTACTCAGGAATCACGTTCCTTTGCAACCAAAGCACCTCCTGTGCCCCCGAGAGCTCTGCAGTGCGGGGCAGGTGAGAGCCACGGCCGGGCCCTGCAGTCACAGCCGCCTGCTCCCCGCAGCGACGCCAACTCCTTATCCCACTGCATCCAAACATCTCGGTACCATCCGGCAAAACGCTGGGTTTCAGGGCTGGGTGGGCTTTTGTTTTCAATTTATAAACAAACTGGATTACTTGAACTTTATTCAAACATAGCTGAAGTTCTAAATAAATTTTCCATACCAGACAAGCCAGTGGTCTCAGGGAAGAACAACATTACAAACCATATTATGACTCTATCAAGCCAACATTAATTCTCAGTTGTTCACATGCACAAACAACTCGATTTACTGTCCAAGGGAAGTCTGCATGAAAAACCCATGTGAATAAAGCTATTCAAAATGCACAAAACACAACAAAAAAAACCTATGGAAACAAACAGAACGAAAAAGGAATTAAGCTTGAATTGCAAACACAGAACGCAATGGTATCACAAAGGTGGTTTGGTCCAGGAGAGCTGACTGCCATCACACACATGTATGTGAGGCCCTGTGACTGTCTTCTACTGAAGTGCTTTTTGAAATGTTTCTCGTGATGCTATGCCATTAGTGTTTCTTCCTAATGCATTGTAAAACCACCTACATACAATTCTACAAACCAGTAACTCGGACAGTTTTAACAAAACCCTCCCAGCCAGCTGAAAGATCTGAGGATCTCCAGTTGTGGTAATCAATATGTGCAAGGGAGGGGAACAACCACTGCACCCAAAGGTCACTGGAACATAATCAAACATGGAAAACCAAACCCATCTAGTGAAAACTTCCAATTTTGCTGGTTTCTCAGGACTAGGGAGAAATGCTCCCTCCAAAGACAAACTCTCAGAATTAACCACGGCACTGTGTATCCAAGAGGCCATGTACAACTCCAAGCACCACATTACTCAGATACCACAACCAACACCTGCAGGAACAGCTGCCAGAGCTGGAAAAAGGGAAACATTATACATCAAATTGATGGCAAGCTCGTGTTAGTCCTGTGTGCTTGTAAACCAGTTACACGCTGTCAGAGGGCAGTTAAAATTTGATGGCTGGTCCATCAGAATCCACAGTTATAAGGCATATAAACAGGGGAAGAAAAGGGAACTGACTTTTTACTGGCGCGTTAAAAGAAATCAATTCAATATTAGTTGGGGGGAAGAAAATTAAAAAAAAAAATAAATCAGTGCTCTCATCAAACAGAAGCAGCAAAGACCCAAAGCTGTAAACTCGATCTAGCAGGATCATCAGGCAGCCTGTGACAGGTTTTTTGGTCAAGAAAGCGATGCCATCGCTCTATGAGCCAATTTATTTTGGGGTTCTGATTCAGCCAAATGTCTTTTTGGTGCTTGTGACATCTGAGCAAGAACTGGCAGGAATGACTTAGCCCATTCTACAGGACAAACAGAAAGACCATTCCCTTTAGTATTTCTTCTGGACCTCCAAACATTGTAAACAGTTGATTTCTGTAACAGATTTCAGCAAATACTCACAATTTGAAGTCCCTGTATCAGGTCACCAACATTTCCACTCCTCCAAACATGCAGCGTTTTGCTGCTGTGACAGCACATGAAAAAGCCTCTGTGTTTCCTTACAGAATGGTCACCCTAAGTCAGACAACTCTTGGATTTCTCCTCACAACAACGAATCTGATGCAAAAAATTGGAGAAACCCCTTGGAATTGCGGCAAATATTCTGAAGTGACCCTTTGTGACAGGCAGTGATTGTTCCCCTCCAGAACCTAGAGCATGTGGTATATGGAGTGAGAGGTTACCAGTATCAACGGCATTTATTGGCTGCTGAGAAATGTGAGATGTATTCTTTTTATATACACACATATAAAAAAATAAGAGTGAGGTAGATAAATGTTTGAAAAAAAAATCAAAAACTGTCCCCCTGTCATACTCTAAAACCCTTATCTTAGTATTTAAATTTATTATGGGGCATCTCTACAGTGATTTAAACTGATATCACAAAAATAAATAAAAAATCCTACATAGAATACCTTCTTAATTAACTTTTTTGTCTTTTTCATTTTTAAAAGGGAAAAATAACTACGGGACAGAGGCAAGAGAAGATAATGGGACCTAAACTACACAAGCAAAAAGCACTACAAACTTTTTAAAATCTCCAGTCAAAACTAGCAATCAGTATATTTTAATCCGTTGTTCTTACTCAAAAGATTTGAACGTTTCCATCCCAGAACCACCTCTTCCTGCCATCGTTTGGTTGGATCAGTGCTAAACAAAGGCCCAGACGCTGGAACTAAGGTAAGATGAGCAACTGGTGCAACTCCTTGGTTGTCGACTTCCTGACGGCCCCTCCTTCCCCTCTCACCAAGGCTTCTGCAACTGAGCAAACAAGCTCACTCGTTTTCTTTTGTTCTGAGGTTTGGTCTATGATTTAAGCCACAAGCTTGGACTTGTACAGGTTTCCATAGCTGCCAACACTTCACCGTTTGCCAGCCAAGCCGCTGGCCCCAGCTCTGTGCTTTCCACCCAGCTCCACAGAAATGGGGTGGTGGCTTCGTTTGGTTGGTGCTTGTTTTCCTCACCAGGGGTGTGAAGTGCAGCCCAGGTGCCCTCCCAGGAGGGTTCCCCTCCATGAGAGCTTTCCCATCAGGAAGGAGAAGAGCTGGGGTTGGTTGGAGCCAGGTGTTCAGTGGCCACCCTAGGAATGCCTGGCATCATCGCCAGCTGCACCTGGCACAGCTCTTGTTCACAGGGTGGGAGGGCTAAATAGTCCTTTTACAGATCAGTGACCCAAAAGCCTGGTTGTCTGCTGTTGTACCCAACAAATAATTTAAAAAGAATACATGTGTGTGTGTGTCTGTGTGGGGATGGGCGGGTGGGGGGGTGTGCCACAACCAAAACAAGCGGGGAGGGGACGAGGGGTAGGACCCTTGTACAACAATGAATATAAACACTGAACAAGAATGTACTAAATATTTAACCTTTTGTTTCTGACCTGAGTTTGTATCATGCCTTGCACTGTAAGAGACTCCCGTGCTGCCTGGGCAGAGGTTAGTGGGAAGGAAGGAAAACCGGGGCTTAAAAACACCACACCACAGCACTGCCAGAGTGTTCCCGTGCGGGGTGTCCCTTCTTTCTCCGTGTCCCCCTCAAAAGCCCTGTAAGCCCACACAGCCAAGATGCTGTAAAACAACTAATGGGAAAAAAAATAAAATAAAATTAAATTAAAAAAAAAAAAAAAAAAAAAAAAAAAGGAGGAAATGTATTTATAAAAAGGCATTAAACAGTTCATGGCAATTCATATGAAAGGTAGCGGTTACCGGGAAGGAGGAAGTAAAGGTTACACACTATAGTACAAAGCATAAGAAAATTTGTTGAAGTGGAAGGGAAGGGAAAGGAGGGCAGACCTGAAGGTTTTCATAGATTAAATCCACAAAGATAAAGAACAAAAAAAATAGCAGCTTTTTTCTGTACAGACATATAGATGAGTATCTGAACCGTAAAAAAGTTATAAAAGTGACACAAAAGACAATGTGTATGCAAATGATCCATGGTCTAACATAGAACTGCAAGACCCTTCGAGAAGTCTTAATAATAAAGAGAAAAGGTCAACAAAGCATCATATACTTGAATCCGGTTACTGCTTTTTTTTGTCTTCTCCAATTTATGTTTCTAGGTGTTTTTCCTCGCCAGCCTGTGGAGGAAGGACAGGCTGCACCGATGGAGATCTCGGCCGCTTAGGTTCAGGTTTCTCATAATTCGTTTTTGGTGTGCAGTTGACTTTTTTTGTACGAAATGCACGTGTTTGTTTAGCTCACCACTGCCAGTTTTGTCCAGAATGGGATAGGGACAGGGGTGGAGGGAGGGCTGGTTCTTTACCCCATCCCTTTTATCTTCTCCATCACAAGAAAAAAAAAAATAAATCACATTTTGTCCAGTTTTGAAAAAAGATCTAGACAATTTGATTTTTTTTCTAATTTTTTTTTTTTTTTAAATACCAGTGCATGACTGAATAGAACTTATTGGTCAGGATCTCTTTTGAACAGAGCAGTTGATTACTGTGCTCCTTCCACGCCTACAAAAAAAACAAAAAAAAAAAGAAAACGAAAACAAAAAACAAAGAGTTCATTTTTTTTGGCAAAATTTGGCAGCGTTGAAAATGGTAACAGCCTTGGACGAATGATGGCCCTTTTGTATTCTTTTACGTGTTCCTAAAAAGATTAAAGAGCAACATTAAAAATCCAGTCTTTTTTAGTTTAGTTTTTTTTCGTGTGTGTGGTTTTTTTTGTTTGTTTGTGTTTTTTTTTATAAAGACCTACAGTGTTAGGCAGGTGCTTGCAGGGGTACTGGGAACCACCTGGCCTGCGATATCTTTGATCTGATAAAAGTGCTGTACGGTTGAACTTGCACGCAGATATGTTTCCCATTATGAAGCAAAAAGAGAGACAGAAAGAAAGAGAAAAGAAGAGAGAGGAAAGAGAAGAGAGAGAGAGAGAGAGAGAGAGACATCAGATCTCAAGTTTTCTGTTGCTATTAAGTGTTAACATTAAGAGTTTTTAAAAGGCCAACTGTGTGCCCCATGACTGGAGTCCTTGACTGAAACAAACATCTGCTTGCATATCGAAAAAAAGAAAAATACGGCAACTTGTTTACTGAAAAAAGGGTTCTCCCAAGTGCAGCTATGGCAGTTCTGAAGATCCACTGAGGTACAGTAGGCTTTTGAATATATTGTGATTTTTCCTTTCTTTCTTCCCCCAATGCCTGTGTTTCTCTGGGCGGTGTTCCTGCGGGGCTCGGAGGATCAGCAGGCCGACGACTGGGGCAGGGGCAGGGCCCTCTCGTTCTTGCGGCCCCCGTTCATGTGCGCGTACGGCTGTCGCTCCTCGAAGCTGGCCCGGAGCACCACCACGCCGGGGCCGTTCTCAGCTTTGTGTCCTGAGTGCTTGTCAGTGGGTTGGAGGGTGGAGGAGGGATCTAAAGGAATGCTCTCCATGTTCTCAGTCTCCAGGTCAAGCTCCTCTGTGTCCGGAGGCTTGTTCTCCTCACTGTAGAAGAAGGAGACCTCTTTGAAGGCTGGGTCCAGCTCGTCTTTGATGCTACCGATGATTTCCAAGAAGGAGGGTCTCATTTTCGGGTTGTACTGCCAGCACATGCGCATCAGTTCAAACCTGGGCGAGAAACACACAGGGAAAAGCATTTACTGAGGTGTTCTACGAGCCCTGACTGGACTGGACCACACGGTTCAGAACATCATTCCACTCTGACGGCAGACGAAGTGCTGAGATCCCCGTGCCAAATTTCAACCTCCCTTCTAATAACCCTTTTACTGCTGTAACTCCCACCTCACCCTTCTCCACTCCCTCTCACACACCTGCCCATACCTGTTACCTGACATCCATTCATTGGATGTCATTACCTGACAACCATTTCATACTTTAATTCTGACCTGATATTTCTCCTTTTCCTCCAAAGTGCCCTGTGCTCACTCGGCCATAAGTTACGTGACTGTGCCTCTCAGAGGATCTTTTTCAAACCACCAATCCCACCCCATCAATACTGCCTTGGAAAAAAATTAAAATAGGAAATACACACAAGGTAAAGCACTGCTTTTTTTCCCCCCGAAAGAAGAAAATTACATTCAAATTAATTGTAATCCCCAGCAGACATTTTCCAATCTCAAAGACACTCTCTAATATTTTTATTTTAAAATTAGGTTGTTTTCATTTACAGCCAGGGATGCATTAATATTTCACGGAGTGTGAGATCATCTGTTTAAGCACATCCATGATTAGATCTGTACAATGTCCCATGCTGGCAAAACAAAACCACAAAATGAAACAGTAATACAGACATAATGAAAACAGCATTTTCATGACACAGCAAAATTGGATATTCCCAGGAGATCGCCCTGAGCTTTAAACATAACACAAGAAAGGATTTCACTGTCTGTGAAGGTGGAATAGGGATGTCTTCTGTTAGCACAGTGCAGTAATAGGACAAATTTAAATAAGAAAAGGAAGATTAGCATTAATTCTTCGAGCCAATCCTCTGTGTACACAGTGCTCAGAGGAACACGCTGTGTGGAGGAAGTCACTGCTGGCCAAAACTACTACTCTGTGTTAGAGTAAGAATGGAGCTAAAAATAAAATAGAGCAAAGAAAGCTCTCTCATTTAAGGTAACACACTGGAGAATCCTTCGTGTCCTGACTTATCTGTCAGCACTGGGACCTGCAGCCCCAGTGAGACCCCCCTGGCTTGCTGGGGGTTCACTTCCCACCTCTGCCAGCCTTCCCTCAAGCCAGGTCACATCACCTTTTAGCTTTAATTCTACAGAACAGCAGTACCATACTCCAAACTTCCTCATGTTTTCAGAGCGTAAACAAGCAATTCTATTTGATCCTTTAATTAGAGCTCTCACTGCCTTGTGCCCTCAGTTCACCAGATCTCTGCATCAGTGGGGAAAGATTATTTTTTTTAGATTAAAAAGAAAACAAACAAATGAACAAAAATTGGCTCTCTTTTTGAATAGCACCTCCAGAGTAATGGCTCTGCTCTAGGAGAAACCTTCCAACAGGACTGTCACTGAGCTGGAAGACCCTGGGCTGTTGCTGTGCACAGGTTTGGAGAGTCCGGGAACCCTGGCCTGGAACAAAAACCACAGCAAAGAAACCCCCTCCCCAGAAACCTGGGAAACTGGGAAATCCTGTAGGATCTCCACTGTGTTCTGAGCTGACTGAGGCAGCAGGGAGAGGGCAAGCGGCCGTGTTTGGGCTGCAAACACCGCTGAGTGCTTTGACCAAACCCAAAGCAATCGGCGCTGAAGTGCATCTCAAGTCCTCAGTCCTCCTGCCAGAGCTCCGCTGGCACAGCTCCCCGTGAGCAAACGTCAGCCACCTGAGAATGGCCTTGTGACACCCAACGAGGAGCTGGCAAAACCAGTCTGTGCTGGGAGCACTCCCCGGGTACTCAATGCTGCATTGTAACCGCACGTAGACACGTAAACACCGCTCGGCCAGCGCCGGGTTTTGAGCCTTTAAAAAGCCTCTCAGAGCAAAAGCGAAGCCAAGCTATAAAACTGCACCGTACCCTCACCCACGAGAGGGGAGGGAAGGCTTGAGACATAAATATATAAAATCCATTTCTGTTACTTCACTGCTGTTTCCTTTCCAGCTGACTGCTGCGTCCCTGAATAGAAGCGCTGGCTGGAGCCAGGAACACTGGATATTCACTGGCACTGCGCCCCGAGGCCTAAGGGCAATGCTAAGGAGATACCACAAGCAGCGGAGTAATGCATGTGACATCAGCACAAACAAGGACATGTGATGTTTCTTTTAAGCCATTCCAGATTTAAAAACCCTACAGAGTTCCCATAAAAGGATTTTTTTTTTCTTTTTAACTCTGTGTGTCCGCCAGACCTTGTTTACATTATCTTAAACAAAACAGAAACCTTTCCAGTAGACAACAGGAGAATTTACAGGCTGTTAATAGAACCTGAGCAGATTTATAAAGTACGTTCCTGACTGGTGGCAAGTGAGCTCCAGGGAGCTGGAGGCACCGTCATGGGACAGGGGAATAGCCAGCATCCCTCTGTGCATCTTTTGCTCAAAGAACTGAGCAGAAAATGAATTCTGGTTTGCGCTGAGACAATAAAAAACAGAAAATGGAAAGTTCCTATAGATGCTGAATTCCATTTGGGCTTTGCATTAGGCTTGATTTGGTGGGGAAAAGCGAAAGGACCTCTCCTCCCCTGCTGGTGGTGCCTGCTGACAGTCCCTCTGCAGAGCAGACCCCGGGTTCTACCCAGGAACAAAGGGAAATCAGCACTGCGTAAATAGTCTCCTCATCTACAATGCCTGTGG